TTTTTGTGAACACCTTCCACCGGCGTGGAGAGATCACGGCGATGTTTTAACGCATACCAGGAGTGACGACATTCAAGATGGCTGCGCCTTTGTGGAAAAGGTGTATAACCCGCGTGCTTTTTTCGTTTGCACTACCGCGCAAGCATCTTTGAAAGAACCCCATTTAGCAGTCACACTCCACTGGACAAACTTGATCCTCTAGTCTAGGGCAAAGAAACAAACAACTATTATACGCACAAACAATACAAACAATATGACTGTTTAAAAAAAAAAAAGACATGACTTGCAAGGAACGAAAGTATGCAGGCGGACTGGTTAGGATACATCATAATCTAACCCCTGAGATTAGGAAAAATAAGACGTACAAGAAATAACGTACAAGACGACGACACAAATCCTCAAACGCAGCTGAGTTTATTCACAATCGGAAACACCATTTGGAGGAGTTGCTCGATAGCCAGTCTCCCCTTCACGAAAAGGCTCGTGCTTGTCCGCCTCTTGTGAACACAGAAGAAGCGTGAAAAATGCATCTTCATCATCTAAACTAGCCAAACATATCTCTGAATGTAATGCGTGCTCGCCAATAGTGGAAGAGATTTCTATCCTGCATGTGCAAAGAAAGCGATTATTTCAAAATGATCTTAAAGAAAACCCAGAGTTGAAAGACTGTAAGGAAATTCTGTGTGCCACCGTTAATAGCTTTGAACGAACGCGTGATAAAGTTCCTTCTGTCGTGAGTTTCTGTTGGAGTTGTCGAAGGGTGGGGGGGGGGGGGGGGGGGGGGTTGCGGTCTTTCACCCGGTTCACATAGCCTTGACGGGAATTATCATGCCGGGTAGCTTGGTGGCGAGTGTTTGCTGGTGGTGTTGTGTCTGAGTGGAGGCCAGTCAGCCTGGCTCAGTTCCGCCAACTTTGCTGTGATGTCTTTTTTTGTCTTCCCTCTTTCCTGTCTGTGTGGACTGCTAAAATCTGTCCCGTCGGGAATAAACTCAAAGGCCACTGGCTTCGCAACACTTACTTTGTTTTCCCTTCTGCAATGCTCTGACTGACTGAATAAACTCAGCTGAGTTTGAGATATTGTGCCGTCTTGTACGTTATTTTACTTCTTTTTCCTTGCGGTTTAGATTATAAAAAAAAAAAAAACATAAAGTGGGAGGTTTTTTTAAGTACATCGTTTAGTTCTTTTATCGTTTTAGTTTACATGCATGACGTAGGTGAAAGAAACTGCTCGTATTTCAGGTAAAGTGAACATGGTCAACTCCAATGGGCGCTTCATTCCGGGGTACGGTGATAGATGACAGCATGCCGCTTCCATGCTCGTCCACATCGAAACGTGCAGGTGTGGGGATTGAGCCTAGGACCTCTGGATTTGTAAGTGTGAGTCGTCTGTCTATGTGCTTCGAGCTGCTGTGCGCTGACACACTTAGCCACCGATCCCTGTCGAAATCACCATGTGCTCAGCGATCTAAGGACCTGTCCGAACAGGAATCATGAGACGACGCGACTCCGACATAAGTCGTACCCATCTTTTTTTTATATTTCGCCAGTGTTTGATGTGGGGGCCTTGAGCATGCTCATCACGTGAGTCCGGACAGCCACTCACAAGCTTTGTTGGCTGTCGGTCAATTGCTGAAGGCCTCTGCTTCTCTTCGAGTCCCGAAAACGAGAAAGGGGAGGGCTGTGTTCGAAATATTACCCACATAGATCCGAGCTACTCCGGCGGGTCGTGTCACGTGATAAAAGAGAGTGTCGCTGAACGCTGGTTGGTTTTCGAACGTAAGGGTACAAAACTTTTACCTTGGAGTAAGGCGGAGTAAATTTTAGAACACGTCCAAGGTTACGAGGGCCCAGCAGAACAGATGGACAGCATTGGCAGGTGGCGCGTGACGTCAAGTCTGACGAGCATCGAGGTCACCGAAAAGCGGAGTTGAAGCGAGAAGGAAAATCGTGATTTGGGCTTGGTGGTGTTCAAACAGACATCGGACTGCCGGATGCTTCAACTTTTACGATTTTTGCCGGAACCGTGTGGCCTCACGATTTCTGAAGTGTCCTGTTTGAACAGGCCTTAAAGGGATATTTCAACGAAATTTGAAATATACCCGTCGTGTTCAGAAATAGGCTCAATATGATACACAATATCCGTAAATGACAATCGCACGTTTGTAGTTTGAGGCTGATGGCTGTAGTTTTTGTTACAAACGGCCCACTCTGGCTAACGCTCGAGCAGCAGCCAACGGAGAGCACGTCCCATCCACCGCAATCGTGACTTAGATTGTCTCGGAACCTTACGTCAGGACGCAGCGGACGCTACGAGCTATCCCAGCCAATCCCGCTCTGTGGACGTAGCCCGTGGTACACTTTCCGCGCGTCGCTGTGGCCCCTCTCTAAGGTCACGTGACATTCGCATGACTTTTGATAGGCCCCGATGGCACGTAGTATTCGCTGAAAGCAGCCCAAGCACACCAGCGATTGGGCCACCTCAAGTAACCATAAAGCTGTCTGTACGAAATTTGACTGACGGGTTAATCTTCTATAGTCACCTTGTACTGACGTCACATCGCATACTTTTGAACACCATGTAAAAGGAGGAAAGGGAAGCTGCTTTTGTAAGAATTTTGAGTGACAGGTTAATCTTCTATAATCTTCTGGGAGGAGAATAGCGACGCCTATGCAAATCTGGGAGGTACAAAGGAGGATCCTGATAAGAGAGGAGCTCCTTCTTCCCCCCTTACAAAAAAATGAATTGCTTTTCAATTGAAAGTGTAAAGGACTCACTCAATAGACGGCATTCAGTCTCAACTGAAACTCAATTGACTTTTTCTAATGAGTCCCTATTGAACCGTACCAGGGTATTGGGCACTGGGTCTTAATTGAATTTTTTTGCAATTGCATTTCAATTGAACTTTGACAATAGTGTTTCAATACAACTTTTGCTATTGAGCTTCAATGAGAATATTGCAGTTGAGTCTCAATTGAATTTTCGCAACGTGTTTCAAAAGAATTTATTTCAACTGCGTTTAAAGAAAATTGCAACTGGTTGAGAATTTTTTTTTGTAGGATTCCTTAAAGCATGCAACATGAAGAAAAAGCACATGGAGGAAACGAACACAAACATCATAACTAAGCACTCACAACCCGCTAATCGTACTCCCCTTGACTACCCCCACCGCCTTATATACCCTACATAAGAAAGGTATCCATTTGGCCGGTGACCACCTCAGCATTTATTAAGGTTGCCAGTTTGCTATTTCCTCCTTGGAAGTCTCATAAATGATAAACAATGTTTCGACGTATTGGAGTCTATATCTTGATAGAAAAACATTGGTACAAGCAATAATCGTTCGGTGCAGTAATCCACAATTACGACCAAACTCAATTGCGTTCCTAATGAGTAAATTCAATAGGATCGATATTGAGTTTCTTATGACCAAACTCAATTGCATTCCTAATGAGTAAATTCAATAGGATCGATATTGAGTTTCTTACGACCAAACTCAATTGCATTCCTAATGAGTAAATTCTATAGAGTCGATATTGAGTTTCTTATGATAAAACTCTATTGTATCCCTAATGAGTGAATTCATTAGAATTGATATTGAGTTTCTAATGATCAGACTCAATTGCATTCCTAGTGAGTGAAGTCAATAGAATCGAAATTGAGTTTCTTATGATCAGTCTCAATTGCATTCCTAATGAGTAAATTCAATAGAATCAAAAATGAGTATCTAAGGATTAAACTCATTAGACATTGAGTTTGTATTGAGTTTCAATTGACTTTATAGGAACACAATAGAAAGTCAATTGGTACTCACTGATTATTTTTGTAAGGGCCTTTTCTCTGGAGGTCATCGGAAATCACGTCATGTGCAAGCCACGTATAATAATGTAGAGGGACAATAGCGACTTCTCGGACACACACAAGAGAGTCTCGGGAAGGGGGGAGTTCCTCCTTCAGCTCCTCTCTCGTCGTGGCGGGAAGCGAGACAGTTCCGTCACTACCTGTCAAGGTTCCTAGACGAGCATTATAAACGAGGCCATAGCGACATCCACCAGGTGCTCTTTGCTAGTCGATTAATTCGTTTTAAAATTCCTTTTCGTGTCTTCTTTAACGAGATAGTGGTGTGTCCGATTTGATACTGCTTTTTGGAACACGTATAGACAGAGAGATAAGCGCCGAAATTTTGTTGTAGTATCCCTTTAAAGGGCCACTGAAGAGATTTTTTTTTTGTCTTTTAAACAATTTGGTTGGGACACGCGCGTCAAAAAATTATTTTATGCGAAAAAATATTATTTTTTTCTTGTGCAATATTGACGGCGCGAGACGCAATTTAGCCGTTAGTCACCTCCTTTCCACATTTCTCTCTCGGCATTTCGGGTAGAGGAGAGAAGCCGCGGCATTGAGAAGCTGTGGCCATCACGTTGAAGGGGAGAAAGTGTATGACCATCTCGTTAAGATGGAAAAAGTCTTTGACCATTTCGTGACGTCATGAACTTTGCGCGCATAATTCAGACCGAACGAAAATAAATCTCGCGCCGTTAATACTGCTCTAAAAAATTAACTTTTTGACACGCGTGTCCCACCGAAACTGTTAAAATTTTTGTTGTCTTTTCAGTGGTTTTTTAACACGTTTTGGTCCACCGTGTTATCAGAAGAAAAAAAAACATCGAATAACGACTGACTTTTGTCGTCGCCTCTTGCGCTAGGCTACTCCCAAATCGAACGTGAAGAGGCAGACATTACCATCTCTCCACACCACGAAACCCGACCAGTTTCTCTTGACCTCCTCCTCCCCCTCCTTCACACCAGACAGAAGCCTCGCGGTGAAGCCAACCAAAAGGTTCGCCTCCGCGCCGCCGCTGCCGCCCGCGAACGATAGATGGCGACAGTGTACGGGCGGGCCCGATCCCTCCCCCCCCAAAAAAATATCCAAGGGACGCCGGCGCATCCTGTGGGCCACCGTGCGAGAGAGAGCGCGAGCGAAAGCCTTCCACAACTTGGTTCCTGCCGAAATATTTCGGACGCTCGCTCCGGCCACTCTCGCGCGCGTGAGCCAGAGAGTTTGCCACGGGAATCCTACCAACACGTCGCACTGACTACCACCACCACCACGGCCGGACCAACAACACCTTGTTGTTATCGCAGTACGTAAGAATCGAGTACATTTAATTGGTCGTCCACTTCTTCGTCTGCTCGGCCTGAAGCTGTGTGCGTGGTATGTTCGGCTGGCGGTGGTGATGTGGTGACACTTCTTTCGGTGGTGGTTTCTTCGCGCGGTTTGTGGTGATGGTGGTGACGGTGGGGGTTGTTCGGTTGCTGGTTGTCGCGGCGAGTGTTGGTTCGGGGGCTTTTGTTGGCCAACTTTGAAGGAAGAGGAACGGATGACAGGCTCATGTTGGGACTTGGTGTGGAGAGGAGGCGAGGGCCACGTCGTGTCGGAGTGGAAAGTTGAGCGGAGCAGGCGGAGGAAAAGGGTGAGTTTTTGGGGGCCGTACGCGTCCGGCTCGTGAATGCAATAATTTCTTTAACTTGTTTTTTTTTTTTCTTTTTTTTTTGTGATTCGATAATTTCTGTGGTGGCTGTTTCTGTAGTTTCACTTCGTGGATCCTCTACGTGTTTATTCAATCAATCTTAAATGTAAAAAAATGAAAACTAGGTGCCCCACGTTGGGCGCCAAATGTTGGTTTACTAGAATGCAAAGCAAAATATAGGGGTTTGCGACTTAGAAGTGCATATGTGAGTGTTAGTTTGATAATGGAATGGCTAATCTGTGTGTTCACAGTATATAACCTTTTCCTGGCTGCCTGAAACTTGGAGCCGCACTGTTTTTCGGGATTACACGTCTTGGTTTGTGCCGCACGTGTTGAAAGGACTGGAAGCAATTTCACGATACCTTATCAAGTTATCTCGTGTCATACGCGTCAAGGCAACATGTATATTGGAGATGGGCCACATCAGTAAGAATCAGATTTTTTGTTTTTGACTAGCTACCTTTTTGTGATAGTCTCCTGAGATTACGTTACTTGTTCGAGCAGAGCATAGATATATTATGAAGTTGCCGCCTTAGATCGTTCCCTGAGCTCATCCGGGGTTTGAGCGAAATTTAAATGCGCGTGAGTGCACTTCGTATACCCACCGAAGATCTAAAAGCCAACATCGTGAAAACTGCCCAAATTCCTCGCGCTAATATTTCCAGTGTTTGTGTTGGTCCGTTGCATACATATGTCGCCTGTTGCGAGCGCGGAACAAAGAAACTTCATTACACATAAAACAAGCGAATGCTTCCTCCGCTAGCTTCAGCGGCGAACCGGCCCGACTTCCTGCGCTCCATGTCTTCTCGTGCCCGGTATTCCAAGAGCAAAAACTTAGGTCTCCCCGTTCCCCCTCTCGCGCGCTCTCTCCTTCTCCGAGACGGGTTCAGTCCTTTCCGAGAGTACCTTCACCGCTGCCGAGGACGAGCGCGAGCGAAGCACGACTGGCAGCCGAGCGAACTTGACCTTGCCCAAGAACTCGATTATAAGCACCACCTGTCTCCTCTCCCCTTCCGTTTCCCCCTTTCAACTCCCGGTTATTTATTAAACACTCTTTTCTTTTCTCCTCTCTTACGTCTGTCTTCTTTCTCCCTTTCGCCCCCTTAGAATCCTTGCTCCGCTTTTTTTTCTTCTCCATCCTCGCCGAACTTCGCCCGTGATAATTTCGAGTTGGAAGGAAGGATGATCGTTCTCCTCTCGTTTTGTCCATCCGTGCAAAGAAAAACTCTCTCACGCACCTTCTTTCTTTCTCCTTCGTTGCTTGCTGGATGACTGCTTTCTGCTTCCATCCTTTCGACTGCCCTTCACTGTTCGCAGTGCTTTTTTCGTGCTTTCGCTGGCTCACTCGTTCTTTCCTCCTGTGTCGTTCCATCATCACTTAGGCTTCATTTTTTTTTGCGTTTTAGGTTTTGTCACTTTGTGTTTGTCTTTCCGCTGCATTGTTCGCGGCAGAACGAACACGCATTCCCACCGTCTGATTTATATGAATCTATTCATTTTGCGTATAGTTTCACGTAATAGGCTCGTGGAATAAGTTCTGTCGTCCTGTCTCTTAGAGAGAGAAAAAAATATACACCCGGACAATTTGTTTTGTGCTGATATTTTTTATTTGCCCCTGAATATATATAGATATATATATATATTTTTTTAATTCGCATTTGCTCCCACGTGTTGAGTTTGTCTTGGGAAGGGGGTTTTGAGACGCATCTGGCAATGGCACGACATTCGCTGCGCCTTGCTGTTTTTATTGGACGATGGTTTTTTGATGTCGTTTAGCGGGTTCATAAAAAGAGAACAGGGAAAACAAAACCGTCCAAAGGATATCTGTGATGATTTTCGAGCATGTGTTTTGATATTCGAAAGGACTGCATGCCGAGAGTCTAGAAAATTGAGCGTCGTGTCGATCTTGAAGTTTCTTAATTTTTTTTTAAAGTACCTATTCGCTTGTGCATGGTAAATGAGGGGTGGCCAATTTCGTTAAGCCGCACGTATTTTGTGTCTGTGTTATCATGCCGGTACCTACCAGTGCTATCGGTATCGCCTTACCAGTAACGGCGTTACAGGTAACGGGTATCTTTTTTCTCTAACGCAGTATAACGTACTCGTCACATTTTCAAAACAGCAATGCATAACATACTTGTTACATTTTTTTTTTTTCAAAACGGTAACGCATAACGTTGTTACGGCACTTATTTTGAGTAACGAGAAACGTAGTCGCGCTAGCATTACATCTTCCCAAAACTTAACATAAAAAAGCACACATCAGTTTTGTTTTTAGGCGCCACGTTATTTGAATCTGCGTTTGTCTTCGCGTTTTTCTTCGCGTATTTCGTCGTGAGGGTTTAGGTAAAACCGTAGAAAAGGTAAGGTAAATACTAGTTATGTTAAGTTTCTGCGTGGACATAATTTGTTTTTAAATATGTTTTAAGTAATGAGTAACGTATTTGGTTACGTCTATTTGGTCACGTCCACAGCACTGATATCAGGCTCGTAGCCAGGATTTTGTTTCGGGGGGGGGGGGGGGGGGGGGGGGGGCGGCCATGACAAAATGCCGCATGAGGGGAGGGGGAAAGGAGGACCCAGCAAAATAGAAGATTTCGGGGGGGGGGGGGGGGGGCAAGGTCTGGGCCCCATGCCCTCCCCCCCCCCCCCCCCCCCCCCCCCTGGCTACGTGCCTGACTGATCAATGTTACTGGAACAACTTTTTCAAAGGAGGCTCTATGCAGAGCCTGCTTTGAAAAAGTGGCTTTGATCCGTACTCGAGAACCGAACTAATGTAAAGTCCCTTCATGTTTTCAAAGTAGCTCAAAGTGCGTCAGTGATCTCCACTATAGGGGGCTGGGTAGCGTATTGAGCAGGCAGGTATGAAGCCACCGGAAGTAAGCAGCTTGTTCCGGAAGTAAGCGCTTGACGGGCTTTTCAACTCTTCCGAGTGCTGGTTCGAACAGCGTTTAGGGCGCTGGATTTTTTCTTTTCATCTCAAGAGAGCCTGCTTGCTGCGCAGTAACAGTGCAAGCGGACCCAAGAAGTCCCCTGGGAAGCCATTCGATGCAACAGTTTTGAGATTCTAGTTGATCACGTGTGCGTATGTCCTACGTTAAAATGCCTTATTCTCAGGATTTAATTTACAACGGGGTTATTAAAACCCAATCAAAGACAGAAAAAAGCATGGACCAAAATATTGCCTGAATGCACTAGGAAGCTCAGCACACGCCCGACTTCCGGTAGAGGTATCGAACTTCCGGTGGCTTCACTTGCGTCGGGCTCGGAGAGCAGATATGCGCCATCCAGCTCCCTATTAGCGGCGAGATGTTTTGGTAGCGTCCTCCTATGGTTCCCTCTCGTGACGTCATTATCTTGCGAACAACAAGTTCAATGGTGTATGTAAATAGCATGGTGGAAGCTTGAAATCATTCCGCTCTCAAAGCAACACTGCCAACACCGTCAAAATTAAATTTCTTACATTCCTCTCATTTCCGTCGATGATAAATCCTTTGCTGACGTCACAGTCAGCATTCTGCTAATCGTGGAAGGCCGACCGCAGCGACGCCTTCGATGGCGCACGTCGCGAATAGTGGAGATGAGCGAAGTGCGTCGATGCAAGAGGCACGTGCAACGTGCAGTCCTTGGGAAGATCATTGCGGCACAGCGCAGCACTGAGCTAAATTTCAGACTCCATGGTCTTCCCAGAAGTGGCGCGCGGCACGTGTCTCGAACATTTAAACATTTAAAGAGAGAATTGTACTGTCCAGCGGCTCATCACATTTCTCCTCGTACAGACCATTCTCAGAAAGTTCATCTGGTAACACCAAGGACCAACCTTTTTAAATTCTCTCCACTGCAATTATCACTTTCAGAATGGAACTCTCTGCCAGAACATATTGTTACAATTCAAGACTCATCTGGATTCAGAGCTGCACTTGCTACTTTTCTCGATATTTAGCAACCTTTAATCCTGTTTTTTCCTTTCTTTGGTTGTTTTTGTTTGCTGCCAAAGCCCCCCCTTATGTAAAGCCCTACGGGCGCTTTAAGGGAACAATAAATGAAATGAAATGAAATTTCCCAAACAATGAATGTCGCCACTTTTCCTCGGATGGAGGGGCTTTAAAGCAACGGCGATCGCAACGCCGCCATTTCTCCCGCAGTGGCCGCTCCGAAAACTGCACGTCTGCACGTATCGGTTGAGGTCGAGTCGCGCAAGGGCCGGTGGTGCCATCTCGCAGTGCCATTTCGCAGACGCAATATAAATTAACTTCCCATGTTTTGACAAGTCGCTGAAGGGTGGCGCTGTTATCGTATTTAGTTTGGTCTCGGTGGACGCGAGCGGTCCGGGTTTCAAGAGTGAGTTTCCCAACTGAGTGTTTTAGTAACTTTGACTGGTATTTACCCTTCCCTACCCTGTAATGCTACATTCTAAAAAAAAAATAAAGTGTGAAGAGTTTTGAGAAAGTTGACCTTTCCTCGCACTTTGCGAAACACTAAAAAAATGCTTGGAGAAGACACTCAGAAGATCAGTAGAGTGCGTGTGTTTCTGTGTGTGTGTGTGTAAGGGGGGGGGGGGAGAGGAGGAAGGGTCGGAAACGTTGCACTTTCTTACTGATTTTCTATTCAGGAAGCACTGGAAATCGATTTCGCTACTTAGATTTTGTCAGCGGTGCGTAAGAAGAGCCGGGGAATAGTTGGTGCTCTGAGAATAGTGCGATTCCTTACTATCACTTTGATGCGGAACCAGCCTAACTTACTCTGTAGATGTTAGGTTTGTTAAACGGTTTTCCAAGATAGAGAGGCTTTAGCTACCGGCGCATTTCTGCTCGAAGGGGCGTGGCGTGATGCGTCTCAAGTGTTGTGCGCGAGCGAGCGGCCGCACGAGAGCGTCTCGTCCTACGCGTGCTCGTGCAGGATGCACTTCCACGCGTGGTGCCATTGTGCGCCGCTCGATGGCA